AAACAACTATAAAATTTTCGGAATCAACTATTTCCGAAATCAATTATTTTCGAAATCAACTATTTTCAGTATCAACTATATGTTACTGAAAACAACTACTTTTTTTGTTCGTTTATTTCCCAAATCAACAATCACAAAAATAGTTATTTTTAATAGCAGGTTCACTGAAATTATATCAACTACAAATTAACGAAAATCAACCATAAAAAAATTAAATCAACCAAAAAATTATCAAATCAATTTTAAAATTATCGAAACCAACTACAAAAATTGAAAACAACTATAATTTATCTAAATCAACTATAAAATAAAAAATCTCAATTCAAGAGAAATTATAATCAACTATAGTTCAATCCAGATTCATGACATTACAGTCGCAGTTCCACCGTGAAAGGGCTATATCTCCACCGACCATGGGTTGAATCCGAAGGCTGTGAGAGTGATTTGTTCCATCGCCGCCGTCTCAACCACACCCCAACTTCTACATGCCAATCACTCTCAGGTGAAGAAAGGTTGCAAATCCCTTGCGTTATAATATTCTGCCACATCAGATCGCCGCTGCGGATGTCTAAAATGGTGTTCCCTGCCTCCCTACTCGAGAAGCTGTCGAGGAGTTCTGTTTCATCTCCGCCGCTGCCGCCACACCGCTAGTCCTCGTGTGGGCAGATCTCGTCCAAACCGTTTTCAGCTCAACAACGGAAAAAACCCTAGTCGGTGAAGGAACATAATTTTGCCACGAGCACATCCTTGAGGCTGTTGTCAAAGTCATCGGCTCCTGCTACGATTTTCAGGGCGGGCGGCGGCGGTGAAGATGTGTATAAAAGAAGAGAGAAAATAGAGATGAAGAGAAAGTGGAAAGAGTTAAAAAAATGATAGAAAATAAAGAGGAGCGGATAGTTGGAGAAAGACAAATAGGTCAAATTTAAAATAATATATAATTTAAGGGTAAATAAAGAATAATGTATAACACTTTAATAAAAAATAATTTAATTTAATGATTAAGGGGGGTTTCAGTAATATTAGAAAAGGGGTGAATACACCTTCATATAAGCAAATGTATTATGGTGTTCTCACTAATAATCCCTTTATTTATTGATTTTTCTAAAATTTATTTTCATAACAAGGTGTTTTTTAAATGTTTTTTCATAAGATATGAAAATTTTTGGGAAACTTATTTTACAAAAGTCTTAACTTACTAAGAGTCTCTTTTAACTAAGTTTCTACAATAAGTAAATATTTAATAAAGAATGTGAAATGAGAATTATAAAATAAAAATAGTAGGTAGAGGTTTATAAATTTTGTGTTTTGAGTTTTAACTTTTTTTATATATTATATTAAATTTAAGAAAATAAAAATTACAATGTTATATTTATAATATTTAATTATTATTAAACAAGTAGGTTAACAGATATTATCCGATCAATCGATTTTTGAGTAAATTGAAAACCATCGATCGACTCATTTATACATGGATCGGTTAAAATTACTGGCCCGACTATATGAGTCGGTTACAAGCCAATAAAAGTGGGTCAAAAGTAAATCGATTGGTCGATGAAACCGACTCTTATTAAAAAGCACAAATTAAAACCCTAATTCAATGATAACCCCTAATTTTATTTAAAACCCATCTACTCTCCCTGACATGCATCCTTAAACCTACACCCACATTACTTAATTTAAACTTTCATTTCCTTTAGTTGAACCCGAAATTTTTAAACAAAGTTCGGCCTTCCTTCTAAACGGTGGATTACTTAAATAGGTCGGGCATTTACGAAATTCCTCAGGAATGCGACCAAATATCGAGGAGGAGCAAGAGAGAGTGAAATGGAGTGTGTTTTTTTTCCTGCAATTGTGGAGAGAGTGGTCCAGGTGATGTGTTAAGAGAGAAAGACAAGAATATTGGTTTTTCTCGACGTTTCGAGAGAGAGATGGGTCCCACTCCGTACCACTATCAACATATATAGCAAGAGAGTATTGAAAAAAAGGATTTTTACCAACATTAAAAATGATGGTGAGAAAATTCAAAATTGTGGTGATAGAAACCGCACCATAACCGGCCATAGTCCTTGACCCGATATTGTTGATAAAATGGTCCCACTCCGTACACAAAAACCTTGCAACACTTTTAAACCTTGCACATCATCCAAGCCCGTGGTCCAGCCCGGTACATCACTCTTGGCCGGCTGATTACAGCTAGCACTCTACCGAACAAGGCCCGTAAATTTTGCCTTGTGGGGCCCGTAATAAAACATTGTCCTTTGACGTTCCGCATTCGCACCAAGTTTTTGTGTGCTTTCACTTCACTTCTTACGACTCTTTCCCCTCGCCCCAAGTTGTTTACACACTATCATGAGCTCTTTTAAGGTGGGGTTTGAAAAAAACTTTTGAAAAGTGATTCTGAGCTTTTTTGGGCTCATAATCACTTTTGAAGTGTTTGCAGTACCTGCTTCCGGTTCTACTTCTCTAAAAAAAAATTGTTTTAAGCTAACATTAAAAAAAACACCTCTAGTCCAACTTCTTTAAAAATAAGTTGTTGGGAATTGATTTTTCATGTATGTAAACACCACCAACTTATAAACATAAACACTTATTTATTGACTGAACTCATAATCACCAACTTCTGTTTTTCTAAAAACTTTTGTAAACACCACCTAAGTCGTACATAATTTGCAAAACAGTTAACTAACTAAATTTATTTGACTATAACCAACCAGATTAGTTGAAAGTCAGAAAATATATAGACAAGAAACGATCGATAAAAAAGTTGAGAAAACGACGGAGCGAGTTCCCCTTGTCTGAAGTAAGAGGATGCGAAGCCATATATATATGGGACCAGTTCGAAGATCGCTTTATCTGCAGCCAAACCACCTGCATTGTCTTTCTTCACCACAGGACTATCCAAATTCTTTTTTCGTCCTAAACGAAATAATTCAAAGAGTAAATAAACGCAGCTTGGAAACGTGAAAGTGATTCACATTTTACGTATTAGTCCACATAATGATAAATTTCCAAATCTACCATAAAACAGAGAAAACTCGAAGTATAAATTTATATCAATAAAAATTGTGCAAAATCTTCACTATTACAGTATTACTGACGTATTTATATTATCAGGAAAGACTTTAAATCTTTATAGAACTAAAAAATCTAACAAAAGAATACGAAAACTACCGAAAATGAGCTAAATGGCTAATTTTAATGGAAATAAAAATTCAAGTTCCCACAACTAAAATTCGAAGATTCTAAAAATGAAAATAAGCCCCAAATTATTACCAAAAATGGTCAAAAAAATGAAGTTTTGAGGACCTAAACAACATCGGATAGCCACCTCTTGAGAGTTAATTAAGACTCGAGACTAATAGAAAGTATAGCCAAATTACTATTCTGCCCTTCTGCATACAATACACTCGAAAAAAATCACTGAGGACATAAGGTTCAGGAATTGCAAAAGAAAAATAAAAAAAAATATTGCGATTTTTTTTTTTTTAATTTCGTGAAACTGATTTATAGATGTCTTGTCATTCAAAACCGAATAGTCATCGAAAAGTCTAGTTGGATGCAATATGAATTCCAATGAGTTTCCACTAACACAGGCTATCGGAGTTTCCAGGTAAAAGCATCAATTCCAAAACCGACATACTGTAAATCTAACTGAAGTTAACAACCGATAACATATTCTAAAATTAACAACCGATAAAACCGATAACTTCTGGACCTTTCATCCCAGGCTCGACTGACTGCTGCGTGTAAATATAAATGAAATAACAGCGACATAAGCAATGGCGAAAGAGATGTTTAGCTAAGTTCCATGTGATATAAATATATATCGTCGTCGTACGTGATTTATTAGAGCCTTCTACGTACTTTTGTTTTTACTACAACTCCTACTGAAATTTAAGGTTACTGCAGAACAAAAACATGTTCTTATGCCTTAAAACACAATAATATAATACATGAAGGAATTTCATTAATCCAAGAAATTGAAAGAAAAGCTATTAAAGGACATTAAAAAGATAATTAAAAAAAAAGAATTATGCACAACCAGATTTCAGCGTGTTACGGACTCGTAATCACTCTTTCATGAACAAGAAAGCTCGAAATCTAGTGGCTCAGAATGGACACTAAAAAAAGGACCAGATTTTCATCAGATGAATCTAGTAGCATCAAGAAAAGAAAAAAAATACTATATCAGAATTGAAAGGTATATGAGAACAAAGATACACGTGAATCGGACAATGACTCGTGTCGGTAAGAATTCGTTTACTGAAGAAGCTAATGTATGTTAAAGACTGAAAGTACATATACTAAAATTTTATGATAATCTCTCTTTATTATGAGTGAGTAATTATGTCTCTTGTGTTAATTACTAGAAAAGGAAAAACAAACAAACAAGTGTCACTAAATTTACTTAGAGCGCAATAAGAAACACAGGGCAATGTTTTATTGTTACAGTATAAAATGTCTTCACTAAAAAACAAACAAGTATTACTTTATTTTTCAAATTCTTCTTCTAAAATACATTTCCTCCAACACATTTAAACATGATTTGACTGATGTAGTGTATTTTGTCTCATCCAAAAAATATAAACAAAAAATACTTTAATTCTCAAATTATTCCCTCAAAACAAATTTCCAAAATTCATTATGGCTGTGAGTCCACATTTCGACTTTCCCTCGAGCACAAGCACTTGCTATCATGAGAATCTTCGACGATTAAGCTAACCGCGTAAAACTTTCAACAAATTCTAATTTTTCCAATATAGAAAATTCTAAAATGAAAGATTATCCGGATTATGATAATCGATTACTTTACGCATCATAATTATCTTTCCTTAAGGAAACGATTCACAAACACATGAATTTGAGTCCACCACAATTAAAGAGTAAAACCAACTACATCACAGTGTGTGAAGAGGGCATTATCGAATGTAAGGTCAGCATCAAACGAATTCTAGATTTTTCCTTTCCGTTCGGACAATGCACAACTTTCCAGTATTTAAACGCCACCCCCCTGCATAACTGCCGATCACCATAGCCCGATAAGGTTTCACACACACAAATATAATTCGCAAACATCGGAAACAAGAAAATGGTTCGTTTTTATTTAGTTCCTCTGTTTTTTCCCCCCAAAACCATTGCAAAATATTCCGATTCATTTATCCTTATATTTTCGTGTTACGACATTGTAGGATAAAGGAATGAACTTAAACGCGTGGGAAGGGTATGCAGATTGGAGAAATAGACCGGCCCTTAGAAGCCATCATGGCGGTGTTATTGCAGCTTCGTTTGTCCTAGGTTAGTTTGTCTTAAAGTCGATATATATAGATATATTCTCTCGTTACACTCGATTTCATTAGTGTCTTAAATTTTTATAGCTGTTGAAGTCTTGGAGAATCTCGCGTACCTTGCGAACGCTAGCAACTTGGTTCTATATTTGTCAAAGTTTATGAAGTTTTCGCCGTCAAATTCAGCCAACACCGTTACGAATTTCATGGGGACGGCGTTTCTACTTGCGGTACTCGGTGGCTTCTTGTCCGATGCCTACTTCACTACCTACCGAATTTATCTGATAAGTGCTGTAACACAACTTCTGGTAAGGTTTTTACGGCGTATCTTCAAAACCAACAACGGACGATATTCAAAAACCGCAAATTTATAGAATTTAATAGTTACAATGTTAGCCATATTATTAGAAAAGAAACACCACTTGAGGCTATAACCGTTACCTTGTGGATAGTAAAATGATGAATAAACGTCGATTTTTGGCAGGTAAGGAGAAAAACCAGAACCACCCCACCTGCCAAGAATCGAAAACTATTCTAACGATAAGCAAAGTAGCTCACGAAAAACAAAAAAAAAGAAACAAAAAAAAAATCACCATTTGGATATAATGACAGCACCGGTGGCGGAGCCAGTATAGGGGCAGGGGGACCGTGGCCCCTCGAACATTTCCCAAATTTCTATTATTTTATATAAAAATGTTAAAAATATTGTATAAAAGCATTATCGGCCCCCCGCAATTTTTTTAATGCTTTTGGCCCCCTGGAACTTAAAATTCTGGCTCGAGTAATGGACAACACTGCAATATTTCTGAATGAGTGCAAGGAAAAAATGTTGTACAAGTATGTAGAAGAGCTTGAAAGCGCGAAATCAGAAAAATTAATGCGATAATAACGACTCAATAGCTCATGGACCACTAACAAGTTCTTGATCACAATACCAGCTTAACTATTTGTCCAATCAAATTTCTGGATAGCCGAACTATGACCCACCAGGGTGGTACTAATGTGGCAGAGTCAGCATAGGGTTAAGGGGGGCCAAAACCCCCAAACATTTCTCAAATCCATATCATTTAATATAAAAATATAAAAGAATTGGTGTATAATAGCATTAACAACCCTCTTCAAAAAAAATAATACATTAATTAGGCCCCACGGACTTAAAATTCTGGCTCCGACTCCGGTATCTAAGATTATAACATAATGTTATTAATCTTGGGTTTTTGATGAAATTAAACAGGGTTTAATGATTCTAACGGTGCAAGCTCATCTCCGGTCACTGAATCCACCGATCTGCACTCCAACCAACAGAAACATTTCATGCGAAGAAGTCGACAGTGGGAAGGCGGCAATGCTGTACGCGGGGCTGTACACGGTGGCGCTGGGCGTCGGAGGAATCAAAGGCTCCCTCCCGCCACATGGCGCCGAGCAATTCGACGAGCACACGCCGCATGGCAGAAAGCAGAGATCGGCCTTCTTCAATTACTTCGTTTTCTGCCTCGCTTGTGGAGCACTAATTGCGGTCACATTTGTCGTGTGGATCGAAGATAACAAGGGCTGGCAGTGGGGTTTCGGAATCGCAACTGCGTCGATATTGATGTCGATCCCGATATTCGTTCTTGGATCAAATACCTATAGGATCAAAGTTCCCATAGGAAGCCCTATTACAACCATATTTAAGGTACAATTTAAAAACAAAGCTGCAGTACACTAGCCCATGATCATGTCTAGGGGGGAAATTTGAACGAAATTTTTCCGATTCGAATATTTTCGAGTTTTGAACAATATTTTCATTCCGAACACCGAAATATTAGATTTCCAATTCCTCCATTTTTTTGAGTTTTTTAACAGAATTGGAATACATAGTAGACTCCGCATTAGATTCCAATTTTCAATCTGATTTTAATTTTTCAAAAAGAAGAAAATCATAAATTTTGAATTTTTTTTCCGAATATTACACTTTTAATATATAGTTTTTCAAATTATAGGTGACTGAAAAATTGGAATTTTCGAATTTCGTCCGAATCCTGATCGAATTTTTTTCCAATTTGGGAATTAACAAGTGTTTTCATTCTTTGCCAAAATATGTTTTTGAGACAAAATTGGAACATATACTAAATTCCGATTTTCGATCCGATTTTAAATTTCTTTTTTTTTTTCCTTTTTATAAATTTTGATATTTTTTCGGAATATTACACTTTTAGTATCAAGTATTTCATATTTGATGTAACCAGTAAATTGGAATTTCTGAGTTCCGCCCATATCTCCATCCAAAACAATTCAATTTGAGAACAAGTGTACTTTTCATTCCAATTCTCGAAATTTCGATTTTCCCGAAATATATTTTCCGTACATAATTGAATTAGTTTTCGACTTCCGAAAAAAGCTGGAAATTTTCGAAAGTGCTCTTGTTTAAACTATTAACCATTTCCACTATTGTCTTAACAGGTTTTGACAGCAGCAACATACAACTTCTGGACATCAAGAAAATCCAACGCCGCGATTGACGACGTCAGCACAACCCCATCAACCGCCATCGAAGAAACTCCCACACAAGATCTCGAGTTTCTCAACCACGCGTTATCACCAAACACCACAGAAACCCCACCGCAGTACCTCCACTGCACAACAAAGCAAGTCGAAGAAGTAAAATCAGTCATAAAAATCCTCCCAATATTCATGTCAACAATAATGCTCAACTGCTGCCTAGCCCAGCTCTCGACATTCTCCGTCCAGCAAGCCGCCACCATGAACACCGTGATCGGATCTCTACGCATCCCGCCCGCTTCCCTACCCGTATTCCCCGTACTCTTCATAATGGTACTCGCCCCGGTCTACAACCACATAATGGTCCCATATTCGAGAAAGTTGACCAACACAGAAACGGGTATAACTCATCTCCAAAGAATCGGAACCGGTTTGGTACTGTCGATCGTCGCCATGGCTGTAGCTGCTCTAGTCGAGACAAAACGGAAGCACGTGGCTTTAAAATCGGGGCTCATCGATTCGACGGAAACTCTACCGATTACGTTTCTTTGGGTGGCTCTGCAGTATCTTTTTCTCGGCTCGGCTGATCTTTTCAGCTTGGCTGGGTTGATGGAGTTTTTCTTCACGGAGGCTCCGTTCAGCATGCGGTCGTTAGCGACTTCGCTGTCGTGGGCCTCGTTGGCGATGGGTTATTACCTGAGTTCGGTTCTCGTTGACTTGGTCAACTTTGTCACGGGGGGTTTCTGCGAGACGCCGTGGCTGTACGGCGCTAACTTGAACCATTACCGGTTGGAGAGG